ATATATATTATATATATATATATGCCGATATAGCGCATTTGTCGTTCCGTCAAAACATATCAATATCTTTTATTGTGCTTTTTCATTTTCCGTATGATATTCGCTAGGTATCCCTGACCCTTTTTCTTGCACGATAGCTCGAAGTCCTTCATGCGCTATATCATGCAGGATACACCTGCAAGGCCTAGAAAATTTACATTCTTTATTTATGTACTTTTACCATTAACTTTTAGTATACACAATAATTCTTGTCTTTTAGTACACATGATGAATTATTTATGTCTGAGTTTTTCAACACTTGTACAAAAATTATTAAGTAATTCTTACATGTACTTTAATATATTTACGAAGTATTTGTAAGATTGCGTTGCGTATTAAAAGAAAAAAAAAGGATAGAAGCCATTCTTTAAGAGTCATTCAGATACTGCAGTATTTTAAAGAAAATAAATATGCAAAACACATCTGAATGATAGTACACATAATAATGTGTACTCAGAGTTAGTCCTATTATAGAGTTAATCCTATTATAAAGCGAATTCATTTTGATAATCCTAAGGATTTCCATTTTATATCAATTCAGTTAATATATACATTACAGCTATAGTATACGTTATAGTTATAATAAATTGATACAGTCTCGGAAAATATTTCTAGCATTGGCGACCTTGATCTCCTCTTTCTCCTCTTTAACTTTCGACTCGTTTCTTTGATCCATCAACCCTCCTTGCCTTTTCCTTCTTCTCTTTGTAAAAAATCCACATCGTTGTTGAAATATTTTATTTCGAAATTTCATATATCGCTTGATATTTATTCTCGTGCTTTTACTTTATGTTAACAAAGTACCATAATATAATTAATCTATTTGCTTGTTCTTTATTACTTATGTATACAATTTGTAATTTATAATAGGTAATATTTGAAAGAGGATTTTATTAATAATTTTAAATATCAGTTATACATAGAAAATGTTTTAAGCTTTGAAAATATATAAATATATCCAAGTTTAAGTTATGTTATAATATTATTAGTTACAACATATATATATTATAAATATAATTTTTTTTGTCCCAGATTTTATCTCAAATTATAAATCGTTCACAATAAGCTCTCGTGTTTTATTCGATGATTTATGCTCAGCTGAAAATACTTTTTGTCTTTGCTGTTCATAATTTCAATTTTCATGAGTAGCTTTCCTCAAAGGAATTGTTTTAGAATTGAAAATGCGTTTTAGGAATATGATCCCTATATTTCCATTGTATTTTGCGCTACCATAATTCTCGAATATATAACCTTTCACATCATATATTTATTAACTCTATTATTAATAAATATATCTGCTAATGTTTGAATTAATATAACGAGTTAATAACTCAAAATATTAATTAAATTTATGTAAATATTTTTCTATTGTCATACAATACAAATATATAAGATATCTTCTTTTATCTTTTTCCTTGCTTATTTATTTTTTAATTTCAAAGTTTAAAAAAGAAATGAGGGAAACTTGTAATACTAGTAAATTAAACATAAATAAATATATCGCTTTTTATATATGTTAAAGAACTATTAATAAATTTAAATTAATTATTACAATACAGTTATATTATTTTATTTATAATGCATGATTCATAATATAAAATTTATAGTATTCTATACATTTTTATATATATGTGTCTGATGTAACACACCTCTTCTATCTTCTGTCGAATTGAAGTTGTAAATTCAATAATTCGGAAATGTCGATAGCAAAACGTATCCCGCAGCACATAACCTCGCATATCAAAATATTGTAAAATACTGTATATTTGTGATGTAATAGGTACAACATGCCACGTGTATTTATTTAGCCAATATGGATACCATA